ACGATGTGTGTGTAATCAATCCAAATTTAATTTGTGATGTAAGCTAGTTTATTGAATGTGTTTTTATTTCAATATCAGAAACCAAAGTAACAAGTACAGCATAAACATCTCTAAATAGATAATAATATTTGCTTTAACAATTCTAGTTTTACAAAACAACTGAACTGAACACACACAGAGAGAGGAAGTGAGGGGGGGAACAGAAGCATATATTCATTCATTCACATTCATCTGTTTCACTAAGTCCATTAAATAATAACCAGCTGAAAAGATAATCTGCTTAATGTTGGCTTTATCACCAGTCACTTAAAGCAATGCGGGTAAGAAGATGCGACAGAAGTGTGTCATGACAAATTAACCCTTCCTCTGATTTTATGAATTGCAATTTTGATGGAAGTGCTCCTAAATTCAATTCCTGACATTGTCGAACAGAAGAACAAGTCTTATTTGTCTCTTTGATCTGGTAGAGAATACAGCTCGGTCCACTGAAAGTACATAATGTCTATGGCTCTTTTCATGTTTTCTTATGTGCAAAATGGTAATTACCATAGCAATATTGGCCAGCATTAATTTGCTGCAGAGATCAGGTAGAAGTATCCCATCTATATACAGAAAATAAAAATCTATGCATACTCAACACTGCACTAAGAAAATAATTTTCCATTGAAATATATATTAAATTGCATGAATTTATGGAGCAACCCATTTATCGTTGGTTTCTACACCTATGATGCCTGTGTCCAGCCATAGATCTCTCCACAATCACCAACACACAGAGACACAAGTGAGTTATTCCTATTTCTGTTTTGGTGTAGCTTCCTTTATGTTTGTGTTTGTATAAAACAAGTGATGCATTGTGATTCTGCAGGGGCACAGTGCTGACCATCATTGGAATGCTTATTCGTGGCTGCAGCAGAGTTCTATGCGACTTTCATTTCTCAGGCTTTTAAAATGATTAACTGTTCCCACTAAACAGGTGTTCCCCTTGATTTGCTGGATCAGTTCAGAGGCTACCATGTCTCATAGAAGCAGCCTTTGTTAAAAGAAACTGCTTAAAAAAAAATTAAAAAGCCCAATCCTAGAACATCTCTGAAAATAGTTGCATATTCTATTGTAGACCAAACCATTTCTAGTGTTTATAAAACTGAAATTTGCTGTTGGTCCAGAGTTGTGTTTATTTTTGAAGGTCATTCATTTCCCAGAGACAGACAGGTAAATTGATGAAATCAAGGTCACTTGGGAAGAAGGAGTATGCTGGGAGATTAAAAACTTGCCACATTCTCCACAGTGCAAACTTTGTTTTGTAGAATTCCTCAGCTGCTTGAGCTCTGGCCTTGGAGATTTCTGCCGGCACCGGGGTGAATGCTTCATTGTTGTTAGCTCTCGTTCATCTATAACTGTGGGGCGTCGTGGGGCAAGCTCGGCTTAATAGTTGCTTCTTGTAAGCCTGGAGCAAGGAGCGAGAATGAATGCGGTGGGGGAGTAGTTTCTAGCAATCACTCTTGCAAACTAAGAAATACAAATCCAATGTGCATTTTTTTGAGAAAACAGAAAACAATCCGTATTTTATGTGTACGTTTACAAAATTATGGTTAGCACTACCAGATCAGGATTGCAAAAATCTGAATGCCTGCAAAGAATTATAATTTATTTATCTTTCTTTCCCATTTCAGGGAAAGAAAGAGAGGTTTAAAGATAAATAAATGTTCCTCTTTGTGATTTGTACTAGAAATTAAGATTAAGCTTGCTGATCACCAGTATATTTTTACCTAGTAGTTATATTTTGGTATATTGTGTCCATGTTANAGGAGGAATTCTGGGAGTTGAAGTCCACAAGTCTTAAAGCTGTCAAGTTTGAACACCCCTGGGGTTTTTTTTTCTAAAGGGTTAGGGGTGCAAGGGTCTTGTAACTTGACAGGTTTAAGACTTGCATGCTTCAAATGCCAGAGTTTCTGAGTCAACATTTTGGTTGCTAAGCAAGAGCGTTGTTAAGTAAGTTTCACCACATTTTACAAGTTGGCCACACCCACCCAGACACATGACTGGAAAGCCACTTCCACCTGGTCACATGGCCAGCAAGCCACTCCCACAAAGCAGGCCACACTTACAGAAGAGGTTCTAAAAAAAATTGAAACCCACCACTAGCATAAAGTATACCATAAATATCAAAACTGCATCCAAGTATAAAATTAAAGTCCACTTTACCTATATTACTTTGGATTCTTGATATCTAGAAGTAATTCAAATATGTGCTGCTGGGAGTAAGTCACATCACCAAGCCCAGGAATTCTAATCTTGTAAAGTACTATGAATTAATGGGTTTTTAGAATGAGCTTTATTTGACATTTGAATAAATGTGTGGCTATGATTTTAGAATCGAGAGTAAATCAAGCTCTCTGCCAAATTTCAGTGTGATCACACAGCTGTTGGAATGGTAGGGTTTTCAAATTAAATTAGCATTAGCTTAATGTCTTTTTTTCTTCCTATGCTCCCTGAAGATATGAACAGCCAAAGTGTGATAACAGTGCTAGAGCTCACCCAAGCAATACAAGAGACGTGTTCAAAGGGCGCCCATTGCAAGGTAAGTGTATAATAAATGGTGTTTTGGGAGAATGTTTATTCATTCAGTTAACTTAAAGAGTGCTTTCATATCTACAGTAAAACTTGAGCAAAAATATTTGTTATGCAAATATAAGCAAATATATTATGTAAATGTTATGCAATGAAACTGGTTCCAAGTCACAATTGCGACTTCACAATGGAATCAGTTCCTCAAAACGCCTAGCAGAACAACCCGCTTGGTTATTTTACTGTGGTTGTGTACCAGAGTTTATAAATAAATAAATATACAGGATAATCTTCCTGCAGATTTTGCATAACACTGGAGTATCCTTGAGGAGACCAAGAGGAAGGAATATTATGTTTATTTGCCACCTTGAATTACTTAAAGAGTAATAACATCAGGATAAAAAAGATTGAATTAATAAATAAAAAGGAGGGAAGTAAAGACTCTAATACAGGGGTCCTCAACCCCCCGGCCACAGCCTACTACTGGGCCATGAGCCATTCAGAATCGGGCGGTGGAAGTGGCGGGTGAGATTGCACAAGAGTGCATCCCCACTTGTGCAAACAGCAGGCTAGCGCGTATGCTCCATTTGTGTGAATGGCGGGCACAATCATCTCGGTTCTTAAAATATTTTAGGCCATCTTTTGGATATTGCTTGCAATGGAAGCTCATAGATACAACATTGGCAAATAAAAACCAGGGGGGGAAATCTGCTTTTAGCAGAATGTAGGTTAAGTTTTGGCTTTTCTTATCTATTTCGCTTTTTTATTTTGAGCCAAAAGAAATGAGGTATAATTTCCCTCAGTTTGAACCTGGGAGATACCAGGACAGTGTACTGCATGTAATGGTTTTGTAAGAACTACTTTTCTGACATTCCCCTGGCATATAGGTAGTTGTTCCACTTTTCTAAGAACATCCTCTTCTGCAGATCTCACTGATTTGGACCAGAGGAACAATTTTAAATAGGGGAAGTAATGAGATTTGCAGATCGCAATATTAACCAGGTTCAAAAACTATGATGGTACACAGCCAAGTGCCACTTCATTAAACCCGAGTATATAAACAGTTGGTTTTGAAAGACTTGGGAAAAATTGGCTCAAAGCCAGTTGGCATAAGTTTTAGTTGTGATAAAATATGTGTCAGAGGAAATAAAAAAATATTTATGAATTTTCTACAGCGATTATTAAAATATTCAGAAATTTAGTTCACCCCCCCCCCCCATCAATTGTTGCTAATTCTGGGACATGGCAAGTTGCATGTCTATTTATAAGATGTAAAGCCTATTAAGTCAGGACATTATTTTTAAATTAATTTAATTGTAATTTAGTATTGCATGTAACTGTATCACATAATTTCTGATCCATTTCCAACATTCCCTTTTTGGGAAGGTTGTTGAGAAGCTTTTTGGGATGAAGATTCAGAAGACTCTGAGTCTTTTTCAGGCAGGCTTCAAACTTAGATATACGTGACACTGATTGTGTTGGTTCATGATATCTGGTGGGATCACAAGAGGGTGGGGGTGTTACATCAATCCTGACCCTCCTTGCTCTGTTGGTAACCTCCAGTACCATTGATATTTCCTTTGACTAAAGGGATGGGAGTGGGAGGCAAAAATTTCCTCCAAGATTGGTCCATATCAGTGTTGATGGACACAGCTGCCTATACACCTTTGCTTGGTTCCTCCCTCTTTCTATTTAATGTCTATGGGAGGCTTCTCTGTGAGATCATTCATCAGTTGGCAGCCATGGCTTAGAGAGCCTTTGCAGAAATCCAACTTGCACTCCAGCTGTGCCTATTCCTGAATCAGGAAGCCACTGATGACTTGGACATTTGGATTATTACAATGTGTTTTGCATGAGACTGCCATTGAGGACCACCCAGGAAGCTGTTACTCCTACACATGTAATTATGGGAGCACCTTGGTGCACCTATGTAACAATGCTACTTTTGTGAGCTGTACTAGTTAACAGTAGGCTTCCGGGTGCAGTTCAGGATGCTGATTTGTTACCTATAAAGCCTTCATGGGAAAAGATCTAATTATTTGTCTATCTCAGATTGTTTCTATTGATGTAATAAACTCTCTTTTTTATTTTTTTTATTTTTAAACAAACATAAACAAACAAGACATGTAGCATAAAAACAATTACGTACAGTGTGTTGATTGGTTACAAGGTTTTGGTGCGTCCTTTCCACAGTCCTCACTTAAACTTTATCTAAAGTCACGTATTTTCAATCAAATATATTTGTATACATTATTATTATTATAGTACTTCATTTGTTTGATTATCACTATTGTTTCTTCATTTTAAACAAGGTATTCTAAATATGGATTCATTTATATTATAATAATTCATTATATCATCTTCAATATATCCAATAATAAATAATATTATTTTAGTATTGGTAACATTCTCTAATAATTTTCAATTCTATGTTTTTTCTATTATTAGTATCCTCAATCATATATATATATATATATATATATATATATATATATATATNTGTGTGTGTGTGTGTGTGTGTGTGTGTGTGTGTGTGTGTGTGTGTGTACATGTGTGTACGTGTACATACGTACTAGATATCTTTCCTTCTTCCTGGAAGATTCATTTTATCCTAATGTTAAAAATGAGTCTTTTCTAAGTCTGAGCCTCGTGAAATGCAGAGCCCTTAGCCTTTGCCTTTCCAAAATAGAGCAGAACTGTTCCATGGAGGGAGAGAATCTCCTCATCAAGTCTTGTAGATTTTTGTCTCTGGATAAGAGAAACTACTGTATCTTAAACAGCTACCATTAGTTATCATTGGAATCCAAGTAGATATAATTCAGAGTTAATTTGTTTCTTTTTGGACTCTTCACTTCAGATGAAACTTCCTACCTCCATAATTTTCTTGCTCTAGTCTGTGAAAATTCTTTTCTTCCCAAGTAGTCCACTAATTGCTCACCCTCTTTCCCTAATTTCAAGTTCCTTCCATTATTTGTCCCACGACTGTAATCTCACCTAAACAGTGCTGAGCATATTTCACTCAAATCTGAGATACAAGATGGACATATTTACAATTCTAATATTTCCATATATTACAGTCCAGGTTGGCTTTATCCTAAGGCCAAGTAGGCTCTGGCTTAGGGCATTAAAGTTTATGGAGCACCAACACTGCCCCTCCTTCCAAATGATTCTGAAAATACAAGTCTTTGGTGGGAGGTGGAACCATCAGTCAGTGTGCCCCAGAGGTGCCATATTGAGCCACTGCTGATTAGACTGCAGGGGTCTCCAACCTTGGTAACTTTAAGCCTGGACGATTTCAACTCCTAGAAGTTTTGCTGGCTGGGGAATTCTGGGAGTTGAAGTCTTCCAGGCTTAAAGTTGCTAAGCTTGGAGTCCCCTGGATTAGAGCACAACTCACTGGATTTATGATAAGAGGAATGAGCTTTTCCCATTATGTCTCTTGGAGTTGACTTGGCAGTTAATTCACCTACCCCGACTCTTTTTGGTGGGCCTTTCTTGTGTCTTCTTTAGTAAAAGTGCACTGGTGATAAGAAAGCTTAATCTTAGCTTTTAGTACAAATACACAAAGAGGGACATTTATTTCTTTTATTTATCTTTAAACCTGTCCTTCTTTCCCTGAAATGATTTGTTTTCATCTTTCCCGAGTCTCTTATACATTAATTATCCCCAATTCTTGCTCTGTTGAAAATTTTCTTATGTCAAGTGATTCGTAGAGAATGTTTTTGTAGGAATGCTCTTTGGAATGTGTGATAATTGCCAAAATATTAAGCCAGAAAAGATAACATATGGTATGTGATCATCTTTTCCTCTAAACCCACTGTAACATAAAAGGAAAATACCATAAGATTTGCCTTTTTTTGCCATTGGTCAAGTGCTAGTAATAATAATCCAATTAATTGGTGGCCAGAGTTCCTAATCCACACATTTGGTGATCTTAGAAATCATAACTTTAAAACTGAAACCCTGTTAATATGGAAAGTTATTAGTTTGCTCAGAATATAGAAAAAAAAGATATTAAGACACTAAGATCTTATATTCAGCATTATATCTGTCTGGAAAAAAATCATTTAAGTAATCCATTATGTATTGCTATAATGTAACTGGATCTCCTTGCTGTAACTGGATCCAAGACAATTAGTAGTCAAAGTACACTTATAGTTCAGATGAAGTCGGCTGTACTTCAGGCTTCCTAACTAATAATTTAGAACCGTAATTACCATCCTCCCACCACTCTCTCTTAATGTGATTCAATTGTGCTTCTGTCATTGCAAGTTATTCTAGAAGCTAAGAAGGGATTGCTCATTTCCTAGATACGTACCACACTGTGCACAAATTAGACACAGTGTCAGATACACATCTCAGATTATTTATTTCTGGTGGGTTTCACATAAATTCTTAAAGCTACTTGAGCATTAGTTTGTTGTGGCTTAATAAAGCAGACTATATTATATTTGGCTTGAGGGATTCATTCCATGAGATGCCAAGTTCCAAAGGCAGCTTTGAAAGCATTGCTCGGTTACACAGAGCTCTCTGTTAGTAGCTTAAAGAAGTAGTTCTGATGTGGGTGGATCAACAATTTTAGTAAAAGTAACTCTTGCCTAGTCATTAATGTCCCACTTGCCCAAGGTGCTGAAGTGCCCTCAAGCAAGACATGCCACAAATCTTTCCCAAAGGGTTCACTGAATATTGGGTATTTTGTAGACTCTCCATCCTCAATTCATTTATTGCTTATACTAGGAGAGGATTGTAAATACCATTTTCTTAATAATTATTTCTCTTTTTATTGGTCATTATTTCACATTTTCCTATTAACAGAGACAACCACCGCAAGGTTATAATCTCAGACACTTATGTTTCCTGCCAGCTGTGGGAGGAAATATTGATGCTAACACAAGTCAAGCTATATTTTTGTCATGCCAGGTTCCATTCCACGGTGGTAACGACATGTCCTAATAGTCACTTCCAGGCATGACTGCAATATGGTTTTCCCATAATTTCAATTTATAAGCCTCT